TTGTGGTGGGTTTTGATTGTATTTTTTACCCCTCCTTTTTTTTTGTGCCCCTCACCCCCGTCCCCCCCCCCCCCCCTTTCGGACAGGCTGTAGTTCTCAACATCGTTCCAAGGAACAATTTTGTCTGGCCTTCCACGTCTTGTCTATTTCTCTTGATATCTCTGATTAAATTCTCGCAGTATCTCGCAGATGTGGAAGAGCACTTAGGTGAGACCATCTCTGTCATCCAACCTAACATGAAAGTGTCAGTCAACGAATTTGATGGCAAAGTGCAGTATGGCGAGAAACGACGAAGAGTGGGTAAGGACTGGGTCTTGAGACATCAACCTTTGTTTCTCAATAGTGTTTTTCCGTGCTGCTATATATTTCTCAATATTTAACTGCAGAAAAATCGGCCATTGTTTTTTTTTGGTTTGTTTGTTTTTACTTTCGTCACCATTTATCGCTCGTTTGATTCTTTTCTGAACAGGGACAATGTTTGAGACACACACAGCAGAACTGGCGCCATCAGTCCGAGAATTGGCAGAAATGGAATTTAAAGCCCAGACATCATTCCTTAGTTTGCAACACAGAGACTGGATGAAGCATTAACGTGCGGCATTCCACGTTTGATTTTTCTGCTTCATTCACGCCCTAGTGAGAAAAATTGAGGTCAAACAAACGCAAAGAAAACCAGCTGTCATTTAGCCTTTACTGAGCTAACTGTAATGTGGGCGTTGTTGGTTTGGTTAATAGCGTCCGTCTTTCGAATAAGGTGATATGATCAAGGACTCCGCAAAGCAGAGCAGTTGTAAGAACTGGATCAAACATGTTGCTGTTGTAAAATGAGAAGGTTTGCCTTACTGATCCATAGCCTTTACTAACCTCAACCGAGCCAGGCGTCAGCCTTGCACAGCGCTTGCAACAAATTACTCTAACCTTGGAACGGGACAGAATTAGTCGAACAGTTCATCAAGCAAATGCAGACAAATAAAAATACTATTAATAACAATTTTGCAACTTGCTCCATTCCGATACATGCTTATGCACTGAAGTCACGCATACGTTCTAGCGTATCTCTTCCTCAGTTGAAAAAACTCTTTGGATTGCTTGAGTGGATTTATTCATTGCCTTTGTCAACCACGCTAAGCTTCGTTAATGATCAAAAAATCTGGTATTCTGATATCAGTGCTCAGTTTCCCTCACTTTTGCACTTTATTTATGCAATTACACCGCTACTTTACATAATTTAAGACCATTACCGACAAGTATCATCCTTACTTTATAGCAAATACAAAGACTATTCAGTAATTTATTTTTGATGTTAGGGTTTTAAGAGTTAACTTCTACAAAAGGCCATTTCCGAGTTCCAAAAACGTTCACTTTCAAAGATTGAGGATAAGTGCAAAATTTTTCTTAAGAAAAGGAGTTTTATTTGCATGATCAGAAATAAAAATTCACTTGATATCAATGGCTTTGCATTTTAGCCTCGCTCTGAAACAGAGGCTTTCGGCAACTCGGAAATGTCCTATTACCCGTGCTAAACTGCAATATGGCCGACAAGCTAGTAAGCAGCATCTATATCGAAATCAATTTTCAACCGTGTTTAACAAAGTAGCCTTCAAACGTGTTTTAACTTTAAAGTCAATAGGTAGGTCCCATGGAAAGGGGTAACGTAACTAGTTTAACTGACAAACAAGAATCCGCTGTAACTTGAACCACGATAGTACATGTACCCGCTGTCAATCACCCTGCGAATCCGCTGCCAGCACGCATCGCTGTTGTAGGTTGGCGCCCTGACTGTCACGCATCCTAAGCTTGTTCTCCCAGGATGAAGGCCCATCGCATAACGCCCCGTTCGAGTGCGCTGTGTGTAACCATAGTAACCAGAATTGTCCTCTTTCTTGGGGTACAGATTGTACCAGTCGATATTGTACCTTGGGTTTGTGTACCTATTTCCAATCAGATACTCGCCCCGTGGAGTTGGCCCTCCATAGCGACGGTCGTTTCTCTCCCTGGGTGGCTGTGTAGTACAGGTTACCGAGGATCTGCCCCTTTTAAGAAAAAAAATATATTTAACAATTATTCCTCAAGCCCGAATGGGCTTTGAGTCAATAGCCCATGAGGCCGAAGGCCGAATGGGCTATTGACTCAGAGGCCGTGAGGGCGAGAGGAATAATTGTTTTAGTAAAATCCAACTAGTTGGTCAAAAATATCGAGAATAAAAAACTTTTAGCTAGTTTAAGCTAGACTTCAATCCTTTTTTGCCGCCAAAAAGCGCGCGCTTTTCGCTATCAGTGGGCTATAACATATAGCCTAGGAATAACTCAACCAATCAGAACGCAGCATTGATAATAGACCACTAGTTGGATTTTACTAATTGGCATTAGCCCATGATTTATGGGGGAGGGGCGGGGGGCGGTGACTGATATTGGGGTACAAACTTGCTCATGAGTGATCGCGAAAAGCCTCCATTGAGTTCCCTAGCTCTAAGTTTTCACTTGCTTGACTTCTGACTTTTTCCGGAATTTTTTCCGAATTCGGAATTTTTATGGCTTCTTAACGAGAGCCAAGAAACAAAAAAAACTAATATACTAAGACAAAATCCCTCTTGTTTAACTGGATTTTATGTGCAATCAAAATATCAAGGGATTCTTTTCGTAGTATATCAATCACTTGGAGTGGATTTTCAGTACTCTTGTTACCACTACAATAAGTTACGTGTAATAAGCCTAAGCTATGAACATGGTTCGGGGGCAAACGTTTTCACAAACATTCTGCAGGGTTCTCTTTCTCGAATTCAAGAGGAGACTGTTTGTATAGCCTTGAAAAATCGTAGCAGCTTACTTTCTGCAAGTGAGGCGGTTACTACTCCTGTAATGATTGCACACCACTGCATTTGGGTTCCGGGCCGGGCCACCTGCAGGACTAAATCAGCCAAGATATCAAAAACGTTAGTGCAAATCATGTTAGTACTTATATAAGCTACGTGCAAACGGACGCAATAACTCCCAACAACTCCTCGAAACGTCTGGTTTTCCCGTGCCCTTTCAATGCACATTTTGATAAACTTTCTAAAAATCATAAAACTGTTGGCCCAACAATGTTGTGAGTTGTTGGAGTTCGTTTTCACGTAGTTTCAAACTTTGCGCAACGACTCCCAAAAACATGCAACGGGGTGTGCAAACGGACGCAACATGTAACATTCAACAACGTTGCGTCCGTTTGCACGGGGCTTTACCAAATTAGCAACCTCGTACCCAGGGTTCTCTCAGTCCTACTCGTCCCTACAAGGCGAGAGAGAGAGGGACGAGAAGGAGAACAAGGTTGCCAATTAGCAGATAGCCGGAATTTTCGAAAGTTTTGATTGGTTCCCTTAGCTCGGCATATCCTTGCCGGTACGAGCCCCAAAATACTCCGAGCAACGAGATCATCCAGAAGCCCTTCAGAAGCTAATAGTTGAATAGTTGAAAGAGCTTTTGTTTGCCTGGATTTTTTTTCTATATCTAATAAATTCTAAATCCTTCAATGACGGTGAAGATGGTTCGCTATTTTTTTGCGTTTATGAGGACCTCGAATTTGTCTAGATACGCAATACATAAAAGGCCTTGGCTAAAAACCACTCTCACTATATAAAGGGAAGTGTTTGATTTCTTCGGGAAGTAAACTAGGTAAAACAAGTAAAAGGGTAGACTTGGTACAAGTCGACCTCTCAAAAGTTCTTAAAAGTGAACGAAGCGAGCTTCAATGCATGAGGTCGCGCAGCGACCGAGCGAGCGACGAAGTCTGGAGGTCGACTGGTTTCGCCTGAATGGATTTGAATCATATTATAAATTCACTCGGAAAAAAATGATTGACATATGCTGTGTCAGGAGCGGCGTGAAATATCACTGTCCTATTGGTCAATTGTCATGACGTTACCGGTAGAATTTTTGACCGGTGAATTTCGCGCCAAAAAGGTATGAAAAGTCTTTTAAAATGGCATAACCAGTCAGAAGAAAAATAAAGGACATTTAGAAAGTAAATAAAACTCATCTTCACCAGAAAGGTTGTGCACTTGGCCTCATTTTGAAAGTGAGGGTTTTTGAAACTCGTCAGTGGCCTATTAAAGTCCATATATCACTTCATCCGGGACTTATGTGACGTGTTTAGTTTCTCTGTATCCTCACTTAGTTGACATAGTTGGTATAAACGCTAAAACACTTTCCCTTTTGAATTTGTTGGTGCCTTGAAAATGAGTTGAAACTGCTCGTTTAGGGAAATAATTGTTTGATTAAATAATGATTGTATTATACGGGGTCTGTGATAAGATGCAAAAACCACTCAGGGACAAGCGTGACTTACCTTCTCCCACCAGTACTGGGGCGAGGTGGTGGTCGCGTGCTTCGTCTTCTTCTGCCCCACCAGGAATACACTTCAGTGGTGAGCATCGCCAACAGCAAGAACGCAAGAAGTACTCTCAGGTTCATTGTTATCTAGAGGAACTTATGGTAAGTACAAAAAATAATGATTTTTTTTACATTCAAAATGAGATTTCCTCAACTCATCACGGTCAAATTAAAAGGGTTGTTTTCTATTTCAGTCTACTTAAGAAATTAATGTTACCTCTATGGTTAAGCTCGCCTCGACAAGCTCCAAAGCAACGCTACCAGTGGGGTACAAACTTTGTAATAAGTTAATGACACTTCAGTTAGACCGGCTATTTTGTGATTTTTGTCCTCAAATTGACTCGGGACTTCATCCTCTTTGAAGAAAACCTTGCCTAGTCCCTTGAATGACGTCTTCCTAGCCGGGTGACTTTCTCGGTCAAAGCTTTTCGCACCTTGCCAGCAGAGCCTCTCTTTCTCTTTCTCGAGTTTGGCGTGATCAAGAAAGACTTCGGCAGGGCTATTTTGCAGAACGCCGAATGGCTCTAAGTTTAGTGATTGGGGTTAGGCAAAACTGAGTGAATCAGGTTCCACTTAGGGTCATTTAACAAGGAAAACAGACTTGAAACTTGATTCACGCAGTTTCCTAACCCTTCAGAATCATCAATCGGTGTTCTGCAGTTCGCCGAACGCCAAATACAGAACGCCGTATTATTCTGAAGTTTAGTGTTTAGGGTAAGAAAACTGAGTGAATCAGGTTTTATTTAGGGTAATTATACTGAGAAAACTGAGCTGAAACTTGATTCACTCAGTTTCGTAACCCTAATTACTAAACTTCAGAGCCATTAGGCGTAATGCAAAATACCCCTGCCAGAAAAATTCTGCATTATTCGAGTAAGATTTTTATTTTGAGCACTCGCTGCTACAAGGATAAAGTTTCAAACCCAGGCCTAATATCCATGTCCTCGGTACAGAAACAAGGACACTCTGCTCCGGGTGTGCTTGGGTGACTGATGACTTGACAAGGTAAACCTTATTTTCAGATGCTGAGAAAACCTATAAACGTACGTTTGGTTCATAAAACCTTTCTCAAATTCAAGTTAAGATGCGGCAGAAAACAGTTACAAGAAAAGTTTTGACTACGACTGCTGAGGACACTTGCAAAAGGGAAGTTCTTCACTAGAGATGGGGGATTGAAATAAAGTGAATAATCAAGTGTCCCTAAAGCTGTGGTGATGCGTTTGGTTTCACAGAAGATAGGGAGCTCTGCTCTTTGATTGATTAAAAGGAAGCCTGTAGCTTAGTGCGCTGTGTGTAACCATAGTAACCAGAATTGTCCTCTTTCTTGGGGTACAGATTGTACCAGTCGATATTGTACCTTGGGTTTGTGTACCTATTTCCAATCAGATACTCGCCCCGTGGAGTTGGCCCTCCATAGCGACGGTCGTTTCTCTCCCTGGGTGGCTGTGTAGTACAGGTTACCGAGGATCTGCCCCTTTTAAGAAAAAAAATATATTTAACAATTATTCCTCAAGCCCGAATGGGCTTTGAGTCAATAGCCCATGAGGCCGAAGGCCGAATGGGCTATTGACTCAGAGGCCGTGAGGGCGAGAGGAATAATTGTTTTAGTAAAATCCAACTAGTTGGTCAAAAATATCGAGAATAAAAAACTTTTAGCTAGTTTAAGCTAGACTTCAATCCTTTTTTGCCGCCAAAAAGCGCGCGCTTTTCGCTATCAGTGGGCTATAACATATAGCCTAGGAATAACTCAACCAATCAGAACGCAGCATTGATAATAGACCACTAGTTGGATTTTACTAATTGGCATTAGCCCATGATTTATGGGGGAGGGGCGGGGGGCGGTGACTGATATTGGGGTACAAACTTGCTCATGAGTGATCGCGAAAAGCCTCCATTGAGTTCCCTAGCTCTAAGTTTTCACTTGCTTGACTTCTGACTTTTTCCGGAATTTTTTCCGAATTCGGAATTTTTATGGCTTCTTAACGAGAGCCAAGAAACAAAAAAAACTAATATACTAAGACAAAATCCCTCTTGTTTAACTGGATTTTATGTGCAATCAAAATATCAAGGGATTCTTTTCGTAGTATATCAATCACTTGGAGTGGATTTTCAGTACTCTTGTTACCACTACAATAAGTTACGTGTAATAAGCCTAAGCTATGAACATGGTTCGGGGGCAAACGTTTTCACAAACATTCTGCAGGGTTCTCTTTCTCGAATTCAAGAGGAGACTGTTTGTATAGCCTTGAAAAATCGTAGCAGCTTACTTTCTGCAAGTGAGGCGGTTACTACTCCTGTAATGATTGCACACCACTGCATTTGGGTTCCGGGCCGGGCCACCTGCAGGACTAAATCAGCCAAGATATCAAAAACGTTAGTGCAAATCATGTTAGTACTTATATAAGCTACGTGCAAACGGACGCAATAACTCCCAACAACTCCTCGAAACGTCTGGTTTTCCCGTGCCCTTTCAATGCACATTTTGATAAACTTTCTAAAAATCATAAAACTGTTGGCCCAACAATGTTGTGAGTTGTTGGAGTTCGTTTTCACGTAGTTTCAAACTTTGCGCAACGACTCCCAAAAACATGCAACGGGGTGTGCAAACGGACGCAACATGTAACATTCAACAACGTTGCGTCCGTTTGCACGGGGCTTTACCAAATTAGCAACCTCGTACCCAGGGTTCTCTCAGTCCTACTCGTCCCTACAAGGCGAGAGAGAGAGGGACGAGAAGGAGAACAAGGTTGCCAATTAGCAGATAGCCGGAATTTTCGAAAGTTTTGATTGGTTCCCTTAGCTCGGCATATCCTTGCCGGTACGAGCCCCAAAATACTCCGAGCAACGAGATCATCCAGAAGCCCTTCAGAAGCTAATAGTTGAATAGTTGAAAGAGCTTTTGTTTGCCTGGATTTTTTTTCTATATCTAATAAATTCTAAATCCTTCAATGACGGTGAAGATGGTTCGCTATTTTTTTGCGTTTATGAGGACCTCGAATTTGTCTAGATACGCAATACATAAAAGGCCTTGGCTAAAAACCACTCTCACTATATAAAGGGAAGTGTTTGATTTCTTCGGGAAGTAAACTAGGTAAAACAAGTAAAAGGGTAGACTTGGTACAAGTCGACCTCTCAAAAGTTCTTAAAAGTGAACGAAGCGAGCTTCAATGCATGAGGTCGCGCAGCGACCGAGCGAGCGACGAAGTCTGGAGGTCGACTGGTTTCGCCTGAATGGATTTGAATCATATTATAAATTCACTCGGAAAAAAATGATTGACATATGCTGTGTCAGGAGCGGCGTGAAATATCACTGTCCTATTGGTCAATTGTCATGACGTTACCGGTAGAATTTTTGACCGGTGAATTTCGCGCCAAAAAGGTATGAAAAGTCTTTTAAAATGGCATAACCAGTCAGAAGAAAAATAAAGGACATTTAGAAAGTAAATAAAACTCATCTTCACCAGAAAGGTTGTGCACTTGGCCTCATTTTGAAAGTGAGGGTTTTTGAAACTCGTCAGTGGCCTATTAAAGTCCATATATCACTTCATCCGGGACTTAAGTGACGTGTTTAGTTTCTCTGTATCCTCACTTAGTTGACATAGTTGGTATAAACGCTAAAACACTTTCCCTTTTGAATTTGTTGGTGCCTTCAAAATGTGTTGAAACTGCTCATTTAGGGAAATAATTGTTTGATTAAATAATGATTGTATTATACGGGGTCTGTGATAAGATGCAAAAACCACTTAGGGACAAGCGTGACTTACCTTCTCCCACCAGTACTGGGGCGAGGTGGTGGTCGCGTGCTTCGTCTTCTTCTGCCCCACCAGGAATGCACTTCAGTGGTGAGCATGGCCAACAGCAAGAACGCAAGAAGTACTCTCAGGTTCATTGTTATCTAGAGGAACTTATGGTAAGTACAAAAAATAATAATTTTTTTTACATTCAAAATGAGATTTCCTCAACTCATCACGGTCAAATTAAAAGGGTTGTTTTCTATTTCAGTCCACTTAAGAAATTAATGTTACCTCTATGGTTAAGCTCGCCTCGACAAGCTCCAAAGCAACGCTACCAGTGGGGTACAAACTTTGTAATAAGTTAATGACACTTCAGTTAGAGCGGCTATTTTGTGATTTTTGTCCTCAAATTGACTCGGGACTTCATCCTCTTTGAAGAAAACCTTGCCTAGTCCCTTGAATGACGTCTTCCTAGCCGGGTGACTTTCTCGGTCAAAGCTTTTCGCACCTTGCCAGCAGAGCCTCTCTTTCTCTTTCTCGAGTTTGGCGTGATCAAGAAAGACTTCGGCAGGGCTATTTTGCAGAACGCCGAATGGCTCTAAGTTTAGTGATTGGGGTTAGGCAAAACTGAGTGAATCAGGTTCCACTTAGGGTCATTTAACAAGGAAAACAGACTTGAAACTTGATTCACGCAGTTTCCTAACCCTTCAGAATCATCAATCGGTGTTCTGCAGTTCGCCGAACGCCAAATACAGAACGCCGTATTATTCTGAAGTTTAGTGTTTAGGGTAAGAAAACTGAGTGAATCAGGTTTTATTTAGGGTAATTATACTGAGAAAACTGAGCTGAAACTTGATTCACTCAGTTTCGTAACCCTAATTACTAAACTTCAGAGCCATTAGGCGTAATGCAAAATACCCCTGCCAGAAAAATTCTGCATTATTCGAGTAAGATTTTTATTTTGAGCACTCGCTGCTACAAGGATAAAGTTTCAAACCCAGGCCTAATATCCATGTCCTCGGTACAGAAACAAGGAGACTCTGCTCCGGGTGTGCTTGGGTGACTGATGACTTGACAAGGTAAACCTTATTTTCAGATGCTGAGAAAACCTATAAACGTACGTTTGGTTCATAAAACCTTTCTCAAATTCAAGTTAAGATCCGGCAGAAAACAGTTACAAGAAAAGTTTTGACTACGACTGCTGAGGACACTTGCAAAAGGGAAGTTCTTCACTAGAGATGGGGGATTGAAATAAAGTGAATAATCAAGTGTCCCTAAAGCTGTGGTGATGCGTTTGGTTTCACAGAAGATAGGGAGCTCTGCTCTTTGATTGATTAAAAGGAAGCCTGTAGCTTGTCGTTTTTTTTTTATAGTTTGTAAGAAATAATTTATGAGCATAGCCTAGCCCTGGCTCTATTTTAAAAGCAAATTAATCAACGAAACTTAGCGTACTTGTATATATTACTTACCGGTGAGTGTATCGCTGTTATTCCTGTGTGATTTGCAGACCCTTTTAGTAAACTGCACCTGGCCACTTTTAGTCACTTCTCAACTGAAGTAACAAGCTATGTAGCTATCATTATTTACCTGTCTCACCATTTATATCCTGTTTTCACTTCAAATATTGCACTAAGTAATGAGTAAGAGATAAGCGTTTCAGCTGTTTGTAGTGTTTCAGTAGTTACGAGGGCGTGATATAGCTACGCCACGAACCTGCCGGCTTGAACATCTGCCGCTGTTTCATCTTAATTTTTCTTGAGCGAGTGGATTTGTACGGAATACAAGCATCAGTGATCAACGGCAGTTGCCATCAACGACACACTGCGTAACTCGGACCCGGGTTCAAGTAAGGTCATCGGCCATGCTTCATTAGGGTTTTTCTCCTTCCACTCCGGTTTCCCCTCTCCTTAAATGCCAATATTTTCCAATTGATTCCAAGCTCGTAAACAAATTATTTTTACAAATTTATTTCACACTTGATTGCGTGAGCTGATATACGTGTAGAGGGTCTGTGTAAGATTTGTGATAGTTTACCCTGCTGCTCCTTTCCAACGTGTCTTAGATCAAGGTTACAGACCGGCTTTTAAACTGTGACCAGAGAAGGGTCCTCAGTTCTCGATCCCCATTCAATCCACGCCAAATATTTGAACAAAGATGACCTTAAACACCCCATAACATATTTCAAAGATGTCTGCCGAGCACAATATACCGAGCGTTGGGATTGGGTTGGTCTAATATCTTAGTTATAGTATTGCACATTGTATCGTAATTTGTGAGATCTTAACTAATACCGAGCCTAACTATAAATAATCGATTTAGACAAAGTTTGAAAGTTGTGAAAGAGATGCCTGATTTATTCTATTAGGTTTAGTACCTATTTATGAAATTTAAAAAAAACTATTCCAAGATGTGAGAAAGTTCATAAGTTGACACCCTATACTTTTAAGACAATCTTGTTCGGCCCTGTATTGACTACTGAAATACGCTCAAACTGAAATGAAGGCATAATATAAAAAAGGAAAGATTTAAATTAAGAAAATTCTTGCTCTAATTTTGGTTACATTTTTTCCTATGACGTAGATAGTCTGTAGGGTAAGTTTCTCAATAGAAAAATGGTCAAACGATTGTCATAAAGACGTTCGTCAAAAATAAACTGGAGAAATATTGCAGAAAAGCATTGGGGGGAGGGGGTAAAGTGATTTTTTTAGGACTAAACCGACGCCTTCTTGGCAGGACTAGGCGATCCTTTATCTCAATGTCCGGATGAGCGCCTACCCTAATTCCCTAACCCCTGATTTAGCTCTGTATCCAACACAAAATGTTTTTTTTTTTTGCATTTTTTAAACAAAAATGAAGCCATTCAAAAAATAGGGGTTTTTGACGTCAGCAAATCCATAAACTTATGCTTGATTATTCATAACATATGATTAATCGGTATTTACATGGCATTTTCATTCAGTTTGATACATTCTACGTCAAGTCAATCCCGTCACCTTCGGGTATATTTACAGAAATTTGCGGTTGGCATCCCTCCATTGCTCAGTGATTGCTGTTGTGGGTTGGCATGTTGCCGCTTTGGTCATCGCAAAGGTCAGAGTTCGAATTGCCTGAGGTTTTTTTTCATACGTATGCCACTCGCATTTACGAAATTCAAATGGTGGAAACTGTTTGTAATGAGTGCTTGGGAGACCTATTAGCTTGACACGAAGCTGATATATTTTTCATTTACACGTTACGGCAATTAACAAATTAAATGAAGTAGTAATCGTGGGTTCGTGAAAAATTTGTGCATTCTCGAGAATCTGCAGTTTTAAAAATTTCCTGGGAAGGGGTAAAACTAAGTTGAAGAGAGTTACGTGCCTACACTACAGTCAGATTCAATTGGACACGATGTACTTTATTTATTCTCTTAGCTCTTCAAACGGCATAACTAGAGTCCCGGAAGGTTAGTGGATTAGTGGGGGCATTCAACAAATTTTTATACTGGGCCAGTGACGGATCTAGGGGAGAGGCCCGGGGGACCCACCGCCCCCACATTTTTAGACTAAACTGAGGCCCGAAGGGCCGGAAAAAAAATTTGGGAGACCGGGCCCTCCCCTTATCTCACGGTCTGGGTGACCGCCCCTCCCTAACTCAAGGTCTGGATCCGGAACTGGGGGAGGCTCCGCTCCGCCCCGATTTCAACTCCTTACTCTTTCATATTCCAGGGGCACCCAAGGACGGTTTACTCCTAAATGCATTGAAAACACTTTTTAGGCTATCCAGAGTACTTTTAGGACTTTGGAAATACATTCTAATCAGAGCTATAAAATTTATATCTGTTCGGTCATCCTGGGGACAACTTGGATCTTTTCGAAATTACCAGGGCTTCAGTATTATGTTCCCGACAATTTTAGATGCAATTTAAAGTTCTACGAAAGTGAGAATCTTTCTGATTCCTCTTTCCATTGCATTTTCAAATCCCAAAATTTCAGGTTTCCTTTTTCTGAGAAAAATAGCTTAATCTGGGGAGTGTAATGCGAAAAATTAAGCTTAGCGAATCGTACGGGCTTTTGTTAGATAACCTTCGAAAATTGTATATGAATGGAACGGTCACCTAGAAATTCTTAGCCTTCCTCAAGATATTTTACAGAACATTTACAGAAAACTGTCGCTGGGTGCCCATGATATACCACTTTTGACAGAAAAGGTCTCCTTCTATTGACAAATGGTACCCCTTTCACACACCTAGTTCAGAAGTTTGCATCCTTTTAACTGCACTGTCTTTTAAATATGAATAACATCATCATAAACCAAGACGTTTTCTCGCTTTTTCAACAGCCCTAAAACGCGACTGATAGACAGATTTCCCTAGCCTTTCAAACCCTTTCACGTGCTTCACCTAGTGACCTTTTATCCAAGCGTTAGCCTGAATGTCTCGTAACGAAACTACAATTATACCGTAAAATTCCGAAAATAAGCCCCGGGGCTTATATTTTTCAAAGGCCCTTTTTGAAGGGCTTATTTTTGGAGGCGCTTATATTCGGAGGGGCTTATCTACGGAGGGAAATTTGCGTTTCAAAATCGATTGGGCTGGCCTTTTAGTTGGAAGGAAATTTACCGTTTTTGCCTTGTGTTAGTTTGTATTTGAGAGCAATTTCCAAGTACAAGCCCCCGGGGCGGCTTATATTTGAAGGGGCGATTTAACGGGGGTTTTTTGCGTTACGAGTTTGGGGGGCTTATATTTGGAGGGGCTTATACATAGTTATAGTTTATTTTGGAAAAACTCACAACAACTGAAACAACTCATCATTATATAGACCAGCGATACCTAACAGTATAGGTGTTTTCGCCCTATTTTCATTACTTACCCTTATGAAATCCGACGAAGGACTTTTTGAAAGTCTACCTTACTCCATTATTAGGCAAAGTTAACAAGGCTACCAACTGTTTAAAATTTTAATACATCGCTTCAGCTATTTCACAATAGAAAAATATAAAGCTAATTCCATTGGAACTCTTACGCCGCTTTCACCGAACCTCTGCAGCGCGGGTATAAAAAACTTTCAAGTCTCAGTCGGAGGAGTCGGAGGAACTCCTAGCTACGACCCTGCACTTCTTCCTCGGGTGACACAAAGCCTGTAAAATAAAGTGAAAGCTGCTTTAGCCTGATACATTTAATGAGTTGTTAACAATTAATCCTCGAGCCCGAATGGGCTCTGAGTGTATAGCCCATTCGGCCTTCGGCTATTGACTCAGAGGCCACGAGAGCGAGAGGAATAATTGTTTTAGTAAAATCCAACTAGTTGGTAAAAAATATCGAGACAAAACACTTTAGCTAGCAAAATGCGATTCAGACGCCATTGTTTTGGTTTTCAAAGCCGGCGCTTTTCGCTACTAGTGCGCTATAACATATAGCCTAGTAGTGGCTCAACCAATCAGAACGCAGCATTGATAATAGAATACTACACTGTAGTTGGATTTTACTAATTATTATTATCATTATTGTTATTATTACTGCTATTATAATCATTATTATAATTATATCATTATTATTATTATTATTATTATTATTAGAGGCTGACAGTTTTTTTTTTTATTGTAATGAAATGTTTTTAATTCGAATAAATTTTTCTTAGTTAAATTAACTCTTTTTAAGCTAAATTAAGTGCTTTTAAATCGACAGGAATTGTAAATAGTGTTTTGAATGAATAGTTTTTTCTTTTTTTCAAGCGAATTAATTGTAAATAGGATTTTAATAGTTAGCATTGTTGACAATAAAATTTTTTCATTATTTCAAAAAAATTATTATTAGATGATGATGATGATGATGATGATGATGATGCAGTATAAGACGTAAGAATGGAAACTTTTAACCACGTAAGGTGCACAGCGTAAGGGTGGCCCATATGGCCTAGAAGAACCAACTTACTCTAGAAAACGAACTTTGTTATGGAATGTTACGAAGGCAAATTTTAAAAACTTAATAATAATAATACAGAAAGCTAAAAGTGAAGAGACCAAAAAAAAACAACTAAGAAATAAAAAAGTAATACATTTTTCGAATCTACACTAATCCTTAAAAAGCACTTTAAAGTACTTTTTTAAAAAACGTCACTTCTGCGATCCCATCGAAACATGGTCCTAACATGTCCTTACTTAGATCAGTTAAACTGTTAAAGAAAAGTTGCCTTTAAAGAACGTGCTATGTTGAGCGAGCACGAGATCGTGGCTTTCTGAATTCTTCGCAAAACATCCTTTGCCCTTACACCAACGAGCTTTTTCATAGTCACTGAGCTCAAGTTCCATTGACCACCCTCCTAGCACATCAATGACAATAATTATAACACTAGTCGATGTTATACCCCGAGTATCGCTTCCTCAACTCACACCGCAGAGGACCGTACTTGGCTGTCTTCTCCTCATTCCTCTTTCCGCTATCCTCCACCCACGGCACGGATAACTCATTTCAACTGCCCAGACTTTCTTTCCTTTTTGGTCCAAAAACCGCGCATCCACTCCGTTAGCCTTAACGCAGGCATGGTCAATGTGAACCGGAACATTCCATGAATAGGCTTGCGCATCAGGTGTCTCGCACATTAGTTAAGGTGTTACTGGCGAGTACCATGGGGGGAACAGAGTCTACCAATTTAAGGTCTACATATTTCGAAGAAAAGTGTCTTCAACGCAACATTGTGACGGTTCAAGTACTTTGATTAAGCTAGCTTGCTTATAGAGAGGAGAAGTCTGACGTCACGTTACCATGGTAGCAACATTTTTAGATCATGACAATGGGGAGCTTTAGCAAAAACGACGGCGACGGCAACGAGAACAGCAAAAAAAAATCGGTTTATATTAGCAAAACAACAACTTTGCAAGTGCATCACACTTTTTTTTACACTTCTTAGCCGTCTTTGCAAGTCTGCGACTTGAAACTAACGCGCCCGCTTTATGGAGTTGGTGAACAAAGCACAAAAATTTTATTTTCCTTTTTCTCAACTCAGATACGGTTCTTTCGGATTCAACCCCGACAATTTCGCCAAGATGTTACAAATCTTAATTTAGAAATGGAATTGAATAAGATCGATGAAGTTTGAAACAGTGCGAATTCACTTTTTAAGTGCCGTTTTCGGTTTGTGGTCATCCAGAAATTTTGTTACCATGGCAACGTGACGTAACGACTTTTCCTCTCCATTACTGTGAGGGATTAGTAAAAACAAACAAAGTAATGAAAGTTTATGTTACCTTCTCTTCAACCTTTCTCTTTTTAACTTCTGGCTTTTTACTATGTCCTTTCCCATCACTCAAGCCAAGGGCATTTCCCATAGCCTGAAATCGGCTCTGCATTTCTTCAACACGTTTTTCCAGCAACTGGGTTTTCTTTTTCTCTTTGCATAACTCTGCCAATTGATGTTCCACTTGTGAGAGTTTTTTCTTCTGCTCTCTTTCTGTCGCTCTCAATCCCCGAATCTCTTGATTGCACGTGTCCAAAGAACGTTTCATAGACAATTTTTCCGCTTCCAATCTTCCTACGCGTTGCTCTAGATTCCCATAATCACTTACTTTTTGTTTTAACGCTTGAAGCTGGCAACATGCATCGAACAGGTGCACAGAGCTGTTTTTTTGAACATGAAAGTCCATCTTACACCGACGTTCCTGCAAACAATAATAAATACTCATATTAGGTAGCCTTTGTACAGCCAATTCATAGCAACTCTTGGGCCACAATTGTGCAGCTGGCTAATTTGGGTGGTGGGATCACGAACTTTCTCCTCCTTTCACCCATCTCACAAACGTCTGTAAAATTTCGCGTCTTTGCGGAGTTAAAACGTCGTTAGTTTTCAATAAATCACTCTCAAACTTTGCAAATTTTTTGGCGTTCTTTACAGTGGTACCTCCACAGGGCTTGCCAAAACAATTTTACAAGGAACAGGGCAAGGAAAGAGAACAAGAGGCCGACAAATGAAGCGATGGGAGAATAACATCTCTAAGTGGACAGGGTTGAAGTTTTGCGAGGCCCTAAGAGAATCTGAAAACAAAATCAAGTGGAGGGAAAGGGCCAATAGCGGTCTGTGGCGCCCCAACGGTCACCATGACTACGGGATAGGTGCAAGATACAAGATACAGTGGTAATGCCGGATTTTTGCTAACTGTTCCACGTCAATAGTTGCAAAAACCGTGGAAGGATCTATTATTTTTTACGAACAAGTATGCCAAAAATTAAGGCAAGTTACCGGCCAAACATTATTTAATATATTTTGTGTGAGACTAGCTACTGTGACGTCATCGTTTCTATCAATACGGGAAACCAGTATTTTTTTTATTTTAATGCGGCTTTGGTGACCGTTTTATCAAGTATTGGAGGACGAAATGTCGATCCGCAAAGAAAAAAATTTGCGGATTAAAGAATACGAATATTTGTGAATACTCCTTGATACTAAACTGGGACCAACACTCACTCAAAACTGCTATTTATTAATACAAACGTATGGAACAAATGAAAAATATTCCCAGTCTAAATTTTTCTAACTTACCTGGACAGAGCATCCACAGATTTGGAACGGGCAGGGTATCTTTGTCAACGGGCAGTCATTTTTTAAATGAGCGTCCATCTGCAGTCCAAAGCTTGCATAAGTTATTTAGAGATAAAAGGTTGTATTCCTTAAGCGCTAACATTTCGGAGATTTCCAACCTTTCGGGGGTGAGTAACGTCCGCGTGGTCCATTTATTTTTATTAAGGGGTGGGGAAAAAAAAGGGTTCAAACTGCTACAGTAGCTGCGCTGCACCCTATCTACTGCATCCCAGGAGAGACAGAAACCTGTTTTCAAGTGGTGTTGATGTCGAAGGTCGCATAGGAGTAAAAAACCGGTAAGATCTAAAAACCGTCGGTCAAGGGCGTAATAGTGCTTTTCATGTGTGAAGATCCCCCCTCCCCAACTAACCAACCCCCGCATCCGCAACTAGATACATGTACCAACTTCATGCGTTTTTATAAACTACTACCTCTTGTCTAGGTATCTCTTCCTTTTCACATTTCTGTGGACAACGGAGAGGAAAGAGAGGGCAATCTTTATCCTGATGAACCTGTTAAATGATATTTAACAATTTAGTATTTTTTTTCCTCTTCATTTTCACTTACCATATTTTACTAGCCTGCGAAAACATCCGTTTCTTCTCGCTCTTCGCCGCTGGGGATGTTAATAAATTAATAAAATTATGCGATTGGGTGAGATGGTCAGAAAGAAAAAAGACTGAGAAATGCTCGTTTGCCAAAAATCAACGGTGATATATATGCGACGTTATTCTCTGATGATTCCATACAAATCCTTCTGAAACTGGCCTTGATCCTAACTCGTACGATCCAGGTCACATTTTATAGGATTTGTACGCAATAATAAGACCATATTAAACGTTGCTTATATCTCCCCACCAATTTTCAGTAACAGGTTGTTTTTTAGCAAGTGAACAATTTTCTTCTTGTTCTTTCTGAATATACCAACCAATCCCATAATTTCGCAAATTCGAATTTTTGTGACGGCACTCTTCTCTACCCTATACCACCAGGATTACCTGTATATAAGGGAAATGAGAATAACACGGTGTACTATGTAGTGATATTTGGTCACAATCTATTTCCGAGTTGCTCTAAGCCACCGTATGTGGGAGTTCAACTTGTGTGTGAATCAGTAAAAACTTTTTCCCATGAAAGAATAAGCACCAGGACTCGCTATGAAAACGAGGCTAAAGGTAATTCTCGGGAATGGCTCCCTCGATTTTTTAAAAATATATGTGACTGTCGTGCTTTATATATCCTTGTTTAGTCAACTACTCCCTTCAAAGGTCTCCAAATAATTATATACTCCTTATAAAGGCCTCCAAAAGACTTTCCTTGTTTAGAAAAGTTGTCGGACGAATTATGTTAAGAATTCTTTTAGTACTACACCAGTCTTCAGTTGTCAAGAGTTACATTTACATTTTATCTGGCCATCTGATGTCCGTCAACAGGTAGGGGGCAAATGTATATTGGTCAGACCGACAGTTATTTTCGCGCTGGTCTACACTCAGACAACGTTAGTCAGTTGTAAACTAACATCAAGAAGGAAAATTGAGATTGTTGGAACTTCGTCATGTCATATGCACTTCATTTTCTATATCCCAAGTAAAACTGACCTTGAATTTCAATTTCATGAATCTGCTCAGGGTAGGTTTATTGTCACAAGACAGATTTACATCTACACTGTACCTTTAGAATGCGGAAAGGAAAATGCTTATCACAATAATGACAAAATACCATCCTTTCAACACATGCAAATGTCTTGTGAACGTCCAGAGCCCTCCTCTCCATGATTTCTTCACAGTCCCAACAAGGAACACAGACATACTGGCATATAGAATTGTGGTTCTGGAACATAAGTAAGTAGTGAATGTGTAAATATTAAAAAGTGATGGACATCACAAAAGACCACCAATCGATATTATTGTAAGGGCAAAAAGTAAACAAGGATTACAATAAAAAAGCAACAACAATCTTTAATGAATTTCATGCAACAAGTTACAGCTGCCTTGTCCACACAATTAGCAAAAGTGCCATTCTAGGCGGGACAATAATAGTTTACAATTATATTTACAATAAATGGTTATAAGAAATAACACACAAACACTCACACACTTAAATAGAAAAGAAATAAAGAAAAGAAGGGAAGGGAAGAGAAAAACGAAAGGAAATAAAGAAAGTTACGAAGCACCAAGATTCACGTCCACCGTGGTCAGCTCACGTGATCACGTCAAATACTTGATGTTTCTGTGGTCTGTTGTTAGACAGTCCAATGTTTAACTCACAATGGGGTTCGTGCTTTTGGGATCTGGATCTATGAGCACAAGGCATATGATTGCCATTTTAAATATATAAGACTATGATATTTCATTCACATGCATGTAGTATGGAAAGACCACATAATTTTAAAAGGGACTCCAACAATTGTGGAGACGTACATGTAGTCGCACTGGGTTAAAAAGGCAAGAGAAATTTGCAATCACATATCTTGCATTTTAGTAAAAGTGATATGCTAATTTTTATTGATTAACCCATGAAAACACCACCAAAATAGTTTAAGGAGAAATACAGGGATTATAAGTTATTATTATGAACTTGTCACCTCATATTCCCTGAGTTCTCCAGTCCAGTCACACCCTTTGTCATTTTGCTTGCATTTTATGTTAAGAGACAGTATGGTCCTTTTCCAGGCCTCATCTGGAAAGAACTGTGAATATAGGACAGTTAGTGTATGTAATAGGACTACATGTTATCCACTTTTAAAATATCAATTGCATGAATAAAATTCCAAGGACAGCCGAAACTTTGATGAGGTTGTTAGGCGGAGTCCAAATTGGCTGTCAAAGAAACTATTGGTGAATCCCGTTATTTCCAAATTGGGCAATCACGTAGTTCGCTTACTTATTAACTCCTAAAGCGCGTCATTTAATGCAGGCATAACTTAGTGTGAAAGGAATGTGTACTTTCTAGCTGTTTGGTGTTGAAACTAGAAAGGTTTATTCAAATAGATATCGCCAAGTCATTCACAAGGAACAAACCTAGTCTTGTTGTTATCATTTCTATACAGATGAACCGCAATTTTGCTAGGAAGAAGAACATCAGCACCAAAACTTAATCTAAACATGAAACCACTGAAAATGAACGCTTCATACATCTCCATTAAAAGATTGTTCCACCACATTTTCAAAAATTTTGAAAAATCATAAAGTCGACAAATTTTTCGTGATACTTTAGATTTTTAACAGTTCTTAATTGATTGTCAACTGCAAAATTAACGATTTTTCACAGAATTGCAAGGTTGCAGGTTCTCATTCTGACACTGTAATTGGTTTATAGAAAGATCTCTTCCTCTTTCACAAGGTAGATGTCAAAAGCTGCACGCATGTTTACGTATGTATTGAAAGACCGTTAAAACTGATGAAATCAGAAGCATGAGTACAAGGGTGTGGATCTGAACGGACAGTTACAGGCAGTTTTGGGGTGAATGCGTTTAACTGGACAGTTTGCTTATTTTCACTTTAAAACAATGTAAACGGATTGCTATGCTGACAATATTGAATCAAATTATTAGCTACAGGTGAACCAGGGCCCAGAAGTTCGAAAGGTGGATATAAATGCTTATTATATAAACTGCAGTGTTTTACAAGGATTTCTACCACCGAGAAATGTGGTATCTGAACACACGTAAAAATACGATATTTTTACATGTGAAGATATCGATAATTTCACTGACATCAGGTTTGTCTCTTAAATTGTACTTAAATTCGTTGGTGTATCATCGAAACATCTTCGGGTCTTCCTCGAAAGTGCTCGGCAATCTTCGGAAATCTTCGGAAATTCTCGGAAAATGTTCGGGAACGTTCGTCTGGTCTTCGGGACAATTTGAAAAATCTTCGGAAATCTTCGGAAGGTGGTCGGAAATCTTCGGAAAATCATCAAAAACGCCGTCATCAGTATGTTTATATAATAAACAGAATAATACATGGACGCTTGGAGATATGGAATTTATCTTCTCGTGTTCACATTCGATATCTCACTCGTTCGCTGCGCTCACTTGTTCGATATCGATGTGAACACTCGAAGATAAATTCCATATCTCCATGCGACCACGTATTATTCTCTATTTAATCGGCCACGAGATAAATTTAATCTCTATCCAGTGAATAGCGTAATTGAATTAAAACTTATCCACTGGATAGTGATTTATTCATAGAGCTATCCAACATTAATTAACAATAACTAGCTAAGAGCAGATGATTTTAGTCTATAAACAATAACTCTGAACCAATTTTGCAATAAGGTACATGTAGTAAAAAAGTAATTTGATGTGTCTTTACACCACTTCATTTATAGCAGCTGCATGTACATGTAGAAAAGTGGCAAGTAATACAGTAAGAACCAACATTTTTTGAAGTCTGGCAAAAATCAAGGTTCTTGTATTTGGGGATAGTTTTATTAGCAGTAGCATAAGTAGGTTCTTGATAAGGTTGTCAATTTCTATGAAGGAGATGGTTTGGGATAGAAAAAAAAACCATAAACTTTGGTTTGGTCCTGAAATATTCACAACTGTACATTAATTTGCAAACATCCTTTATATGGAGGAATTACAGTCAGGACATTACAGTCTGTACTTTGTACAGTACACTCAGGCCAAAAAATGCACGCTCAAGAACTTCTTTTTGTGTCCGCAGGCTGGCAACAACTTCAGCATATGATAAAACAGGAACTGGACTGGATTGATAAAACATGGGTTAATAAAATATGGGTTGATAAGAAAGAAATTAAGATGAAATTGATCATGCAGTGTCAGCAAAGAAATTCACCATTAGTGTGCTGCACATGCAGAGCTTATATTTTGCTGATTAAATAAATGGACTTATTTTCCAGAAAGTAAATAAATATATGTTTTCCTGTTAAAGTGTATATTTAGTTACCTACATTTTGGGTTTTTTAAGTGAGTTTATGGCTATTTAGTTAAAATGAGAGGAATGGGCAGCCTTGGATATGGACAAGAAGTTAAGCATTTATAATCACAAGATAGTCAGGAGATTTTAATGACAATGGAATACAAGCCGTGCATACCGGTAGGTTCACGATCGCCTTCAGTAGAATTATTACATAGTCTCAATCTTATGCTTTTTGAGGAAGATAAAAATGAGGTGTATCGTTCAATCAGCCCTCTCAGTCTGCAAGCTTCAAACTTCAGATCTTACAAGCAATCAACCTGCCTCCTCCTCCTTTTTTACTCCATTGTTTCATTATAACGTTTGTGAAAATAATTTTTCTTTTCCTGGGCCCTCACCTTCGCTAGGAGCTTAAAATGGTTACCTTTATTTTGCATTTCAAGGAATTTTAGTTAATTAAATACCAGTAAATGCATGGCCAAAGTTTTTATCCCAACATATGCTGTTTGGTTCATTTCTACTTGTGCTCTAACAAACAAAACTTGACTGTTGCAGGTGTTATAAGCTTTGATTTGGTTTTTATAGGCATTTGTGAAAGGAGACATAAATTGCTTTTTTTTACATTCTTTTTGCCATTGCTGCTGTCATTGTTGCCTAAGAGCACTTTAACAACAAAAGATGTACTATATTAGATTTTTTACCTCTTTAGTTACTTACCCCTCCATTTCTTGGAAGAGGAGTCCGGTCCTGTGGACAACGCCACTGATCACCTTCAGCCTTTCTATGTATTGAAATAAAAAAATTCTCACATTACATGTAAAAAAAAAACATTAAGATTGAAACACCTTTAAATGTATGTACAATGAAGGTACTGCCTTTATAATGGCCTGTAAACAGCTAGACTTTCATGTGTCATGGATGATCAGGTTAAATGGCTGCAGTCCCATCTCAGAAGGAGATGTAAAAATAGCATCCTTAATTATTAGAATTTTGTGCCTAATGCATTGAAACTCCAGCAAAGTGCATAAATTTAGTTATTCTCTAACCTAAAGGGGCTTTTCAGGGTTAAAGAAACAAATAATTCAAATTAAACATAGTATTATTAGGATTAAGGAATCCCATCTGGTACAGGTTTAGTGATCCAGTTCTGGCTATTTACAAGTATTTGAAATCAAGGATTTCAACCAGGAACTACAGTAAATAAATCTTAGAATGGTCAGCTGGGGACTACTAGTACTCGAGGCCTCCGGATTAAAATAGTCCAACATCTAACAGCTCGGCCACAGTATAAGTAACTGCATCGTTATCCATAAATCACAAGAACTGCTTTCAAAAACGTGAGTCTACATGATATTAGTTCCTCTTCTACGACAGTTGCATTTGAAAAGTAGGAGGCTTTAATAAATAGCTGCTGCAAATAAAGCAAGAATAATGAACCAGGATTAAAAAACAGGAAAACTTCTTTTTCCAATATTTCTGGGACTCGTCACCTCTTTGAGAGGCATGCAAAAATGGGGACTACTTTATTATAAATCCATGTATCACGTAGATGCAGTCAAGTCTTTTTTAACACATAATCAATCAAACAACCAACATATCAAAGCCAGTTTAGAATATAAATCCAACCTCATACAAGCTGTATTTTAAAAAGCATGTTGTCACTGTTGTTGATTTTGTCACTGTTGTCGCAGTTATCACCATTGTCGATGTTGTCCCCGATGTCATTGTTGTCACTGTTCTCACTGTTGTCAACATTGTCATTGTTGCCAGTGTTGTCGCTATTGTCACCATTGCCAATCTTGTCACTGTTGTCGCTGTTGTCAATGTTGACACTGTTGTCACCGTTGCCACTGTTGTCACAGCTGTCGCTGTTGTCAATCTTGTCACTGTTGTCAATATTGTCACATTTGTCACTGTTGAAGCTGTTGTCGCTGTTGCCAATATTGTCACCATTATCACTGTTGTCACTGTTGTTGCTGTTGTCACTGTTGTCACTATTGGCCCTGTTTTCACTGTTGTCACTGTCGTCACCATTCGCACTGATGTCACCATTGTTGATGTTGTCACCATTGTCACTGTTGTCACCGTTGTCACTGTTGTCAATGTGATCACCGGTCTCGCTGTTGTCACTGTTGTCACAGTTGTCGCTGTTATCACTGTTGTTGCTGTTGTCACCATTGTCACTGTTGTCAAAGTTACCACTGTTGTCAATGTGATCACCGGTCTCGCTGTTGTCACTGTTGTCACAGTTGTCGCTGTTATCACTGTTGTTGCTGTTGTCACCATTATCGCTGTTGTCAACTTTGTCGCTGATGTCGCTGTTGTCACCGTTGTCGCTGTTGACACTGTTGTCACTGTTGTCATCATTGTTGCTGTTGTCACTGTTGTCACTGTTGACACTGTTGTTAATGTTGTCGATGTGACCACTGTTGTTGCTGTTGTCACAGATGTCACTGTTGTCGATGTGATAACCGCTGTCGCTGTTATCACTGCTGTCAACGTTGTCACTATTTTCACTATTGTCACCGTTGTCGCCGTTGTTGCTGTTGTTACGGTCGTCACCGTTGTCGCTATTGTCGCTGTTGTCACTGTTGTCACTGTTGTCACTGTTGTCATCGTTGTCACTGTTGTCATTGTTCTCACAGTTGTCACTGTTGTCACTGTTGTTGCTGTTGTCACTGTTTTCACTGTTCTCGCTGTTGTCACTGTTTTCACCGTTGTCACTGTTGTCACTGTTGTCGCTGTTGTCACTGTTGTCACGCTGTTGTCACCGTTGTCGCTGTTGTCACTGTTGTCACAATTGTCACTGTTGTCACTGTTGTCACAGTTGTCACCGTTGTCGCTGTTGTCACTGTTGTCGCTGTTGTTACTGTTGTTGATGTTGTCACCATTGTCACTGTTCTCACCATTGTCACTGTTGTCACTGTTGTCATCACTGTCACTGTTGTCACTGTTGTCACTGTGTTCACTGATGTCCCTGTTGTTGCCCTTTTCACTTTTGTCGCTGTTGTCAGTGTTGTCACCGTTGTCACCGTTGTCACTGTTGTCACCGTTGTCACTGTTATCACTGTTGTCACTGATGTTACTGTTGTCACCGTTGTCACTGTTGTCGCTGTTGTCACTGTTTCCACCATTGTCACACTGTGTTGCTGTCGTCACTGTTGTCAATGTTGTTGCTGTTGTCACTGTTGTCACTGTTGTCACCGTTGTCGCTGTTGTCACTGTTGTCACCGTTGTCATTGTTTTCACCGTTTTCACTGTTGTCACTGTTGTTGCCGTTGTTACAGTTGTCACTATTGTCACCGTTGTCACTGTTGTCGCTGTTGTCACTGTTGTCATCGTTGTCACTGTTTTCACTGTTGTCGCAGTTGTCACTGTTTTTACCGTTGTCGCTGTTGTCACTGTTCTCACTGTTGTCACTGTTGTCGCTGTTGTCACTGTTGTCACCGTTGTCACTGTTTTCACCGTTCTCACTGTTGTCACTGTTGTCACCGTTGTTACTGTTGTAACCGTTGTCACCATTATCACTGTTGTCACTGTTGTCGATCGCTGTTCTCACTGTTGTCACCATTGTCACTGTTGTCGTTGTTGTCATTGTTGTCACCGTTGTCACTGTTTTCACTGTTTTCGCTGTTGTCACCGTTTTCACTGTTGTCACTGTTGTTGCTGTTTTTACTGTTGTCTCTGTTGTTTCTGTTGTCACTGTTGTCACCGTTGTCACTGTTGTCACCATTGTCACTGTTGTCGCTGTTGTCATTGTTGTCACCGTTGTCACTGTTTTCACTGTTTTCGCTGTTGTCACCGTTTTCACTGTTGTCTCTGTTGTTTCCGTTGTCACCATTGTCACTGTTGTCGCTGTTGTCACTGCTGTCACCGTTGTCATTGTCATCACCGTTGTCACTGTGGTCACCATTGTCACTGTTGTCACCTTTGTCGCTGTTGTCACTGTTGGTGAGAACAGTGACAATGGTGACAACATCAATAACAGTGACAACAGTGACAACAGTGACAACAGTGACAACAGTGACAACAGTGACAACAGGGACAACGGTGACAACAGTGACAAGGGTGAAAACACTGACAACACACAACGGTGACAACAGTGACAATGGTGACAACAGCGTGACAATCATGACAAAAGTGACAACAGAGACAACAGTGACAACAACGACAAAGGGGGCAACAGTGACTACAGTGACAACAGCGACAACAGTGACAACATCGACAACAGTGAGAACAGTGGCAATGGTGACAACATCAACAACAGTGACAACAGCGACAATGGTGACAACAGCGACAACGGTGACAACAGTGAGAACGGTGACAACAGTGACAACAGTGACAACGGTGACAACAGTGACAACAGCGACTGCGGTGACAACAGCGTGACAACAGTGACAACAGCGACAACAGTGGCCACAGTGACAACAGCGACAATGGTCACCGTTGTCACTGTTGTCTGACTGTTGTCACTGTTGTCGCCGTTGTCACCGTTGTCACCGTTGTTGCTGTTGTCACTGTTGTTGCTGTTTTCACCGTTGTCACCGTTGTTGATAATGCCCCCAATTCACTGTTGTCACTGTTGTCACCATTGTCACCGTTGTGGCTGTTGTCACCGTTGTCGCTGTTGTCACAGTTGTCACTGTTGTCACCGTTGTCGCTGTTTTGACTGTTGGTGCTGTTTTCACTGTTGTCACCGTTGTCACTTTTGTCACTCTTGTCGCTGTTGTCACTGTTTTCACTGTTGTCGCTGTTATTACTGTTGTTGATGTTGCCACTGTTGTCACTGTTGTACTGTTGATGCTGTTGTCACCCTTGTCACCCCATTTAGCAAAACGAAGCAAAACAATACATCATATGGTAATCAACAAGGAGACCTAACCCATGCATAACATGACTATAAACACAAAAATACATGTAAATATGGTAAATTGGATACACGTCATCAGTATGGAATAGACCTTATTCATGATACCCATCAACAGTTTTTCACATGGAATAAAAGCAAAATGTTACATGGTATTTCAGGGGGCAAACAAGTGATATAATTTGCCAATATGAGTTAAATCATGGTCAGGTTTGTTTATTCTATCAAGATGAGAAGACAGTTTGATAGTCATTCATTATCCAAGGGGGTGGGGGCTATATACTTCCTAGTTGCATACGATGTCAGGAGAATGCGACCTAATCTGAAAGCAAGAAGCCTTGGCACAAGCATTTAGCAGAAAGAATCTCGATTTTTAGGTAGGTTCAACTACTGGAATACGTCATAGACTCCATGGGCAAGGTGCGCTTATCTAAAAGCATCACAATGCACACGAATGTTTTTTCTTCAATATATGCAGCTTATTTTTATGCCCATTTTCAATCAATCAATTAATCAATAAACTTTATTTATCCATGGTAGTAATAAGCTTATGGGACAGTGCCAAAAAAGGAAGAAATACAAAACTACTAAAAAATTAGTTACTGTACAATTATTGTACAGTAACTAATTTTTATCATATACTAAAATATTACAAGTAATTAAAAAAATAGTATTTACATCACAAATTATAATTATACTCTTCCTCTGTGCTGTTCATTTTCCTTATCAGTCAGCTGCTCATCAGATCTGTTCTACTTGGCAAGTTTAAACTCTATTCCTTTTTGGAAGTAAATCAGCATACATTTTTTTGAAAATTTAGTAGCTCTATATTAAAATGAAGCTTCATCACTTTGTTTACTGCCTCTGACGCATACAGAAAGTGCATTATTCTATCTACAAAGAAGCGAATATGGCATGTGTTATTGTCCTGTGAGATGCCATC